CAATTTACATAATAACTCAATTAATCTAGGTCCCTTCTTAATTAAAGATACTCTTTATCCCCTAAACATTTATGACATTAAATTTTATAGTTGGAATTTAATATTGGTAAAATGCTTTAATAAGCTTTCAATGGTTCTTGATTATACATCAGCTGAATTTAGTCTTTTGCTCTTAATGTCTGTATACCTTAACATAACTAATAAATTATATTTACTTTTATTATATTTACTTTAATTAGATTTTTAAACTTGTAACGTTATATACAGATGATTTTTTGTATATAGTTAAATTCAACATTTGTTGTATTTTAGTTAGTTGTAAGGTTCTTAAATTTTACATAAGCTATATCTGGGTATTCTAGTTTAATAACTTTAAATTTAAAATACAAATAATTCATTTGTATTATTACCTTCTAGCCTATGTTAATTGTAATTATTTTCCCTTTTCTCTTTCAGGCGCCGTTTTGATTTCGTTTTGATTTTTGATTGATTTATATTTCTCTGTTTATGTAAAATATTTTTTTGCTCATGAAATATTTTTATAATCATTTTTCTTCATCTAGGTTCCGTTGTCTTAGTTTTTTTTGGAAAAACTTTAATATTCGTTTTAATGTATTATGAATTGGCAGTTTTATAATATTTTTGGTTTATTTTGAAATTTTCTGCGTTCGAGAAATCCCACCTAGTGTTCTCCCCCTTGTTATTATGTTTCTCTGCTAAACGCTATAATACATATTTAGAAGGTATGACCTTAATCCTGGCTCAGTTATCTATTATGCATAACTATTTGTCAATATACAGTACTTTATCCCTTTTTACTTTGGAATTGGTTTCCTTGGTAGTATCCGAGATTTTTTGTATATTTTTAGCAGTTTTTCTTTCAGTCAACTTCATAAAAGAAAGTTCATTTTATCAGTATACATATTGCAACTTAAATTATGCTTGCTTTTCTCAATGAACAATACATTAGCACATTTCGTAACTTTAATCTAAAGTTTATTTTGACTTATCAACACTATATATAAGTATTACATTATATATATATATAACTTGTTTATATTTTTTACATTATGTGTATTAGACTTTTAGTATTATTATATTACATTTTAGTCTACTCAAAAAAAACTTACTTTAACAAAAAATATATAAATATAATGTGTAGCCTAAAATGTAATATAATCATACTAAAAGTCTAATACACATAATGTAAAAAATAATCATAAACAAGTTATATATAAATATTTTGTTAAGATTATTTTTTACAAATTGTGTATTAGACATTTATATATATGAGTATAGTTATATTATATTACATTTTTCATATTAGTCTACACACTATATATATTTTTTTAAGATTATTTTTTACTCTATATATAGGCATTTATATATACCAGTATAGTAATATTTTATTACATTTTACATATTAGTCTATTTATGTACATGTACAGTACATTATATGCAGATTTGCTTGTTTCTAACATAACATTATGGATTATATATATTTGTTTAACTTTCTCCTAGACATGTTTAATAATTTATAACTTTTAATCGTATAACACGTAAGGGGAGCGACGCTTAGGAAACTGTCTTGTTTTAATTTTTTTTAGTTTTGATTACTACTCAGTATGTTTTTTTGTTTCTTCAAAATTTTTCTTAAATATCGAAATGTGTTGTTTCTTTTTTTATAAAATTTTTTTTTTCCCTTCTAAAAAAAAAAAATTCAAAAATTATTTTTATAAAATTCTTTTGTTAAATCTCTTTCTGGCGCCGGTGAATTTATATGATTTTGTTGTAGCTGTTGAAAAAAGAAGAAATAAATTCAATATAATACATCAAATGTCATTTATTTTCTGACAGGAATTAGTTTTTTCCTTGTGGATGGGGGAAAAACAAAATTATCACATGGGCTGTTTTTAAGAAGTTCTTTGTTTGCTATTTGGAGTGAAGATATTGGATGACGAGAGGGATTGGGGAAGATTTAATATGTTTATACATTATATATGTATATATATGAATAAATTGGAAAGTAATGTTTATGATATTTATTTAATATTATTAAAAGGATTATTTTGGATTGATAAGTTATATTTTTGTGAGAGTAAAGGGTTGAGAGTAAAGGATTTTTTTATTTTATTTATGATTTTTACAAAAGATTTATTTATGTAACATTTTTGTTTATCTTGTCTATCGCTCATGAAATATACATATACTTTTCCTTTTCTCTTCTGTTTCTTTTTATGAGAAATCTTTTATACTAGTAGTTAAATATAGCATTGAAAAGTTTTGCTTTTATTTAAAATAACTCATAATTAGTTTTATTATAGATTTGCTTCTTGCAGTCTATTTTTCTCTTTTTTTAAAAATATAAAAAATAAATCCCACCCAGTGCTCTTCTTTTGTTAGTTTATTTTATTTTATTTTTCTTTTCTTTTCCTCAAAATATTTGTATTAGTTGTAGTTTTCAAAATTTTCCTTTTTATGTCGATTTTAGCTTCTTGGATTTAAACAAATATATCGATATGGAGGTAACTTTATCTTTATTATAGTGACACCAATATCTTTTAAAAATTTCCTTTTTATCTTTTTATATTTTTCACATACATTTCTAATCGGCAGTTGACCCCCAATTATATTTTTCTGTTTATTTTTTTAATTTATTTCAATCTATAGTTGATTAATTATCTACAGTTGTGTGTTATTAATAGCTAATCTATTTGAAATATTTAAGTTAATAAAAAAGAATAAATAAATATTTGTAAAGTTTTTCTTGTTTTGTGAGCGATGTATAACCAAATTCAGGTTAATTAATCTTTAGCTATTAAAATTTGTAGGATAATGATAATTCAAACTCAGCTCCCCTATTAACTTCTGGATCTCTAGTTAATAAAAACTGTTATAAACAAGGGTAATAGCCTTTGTGCCATGATAAATTTCTTATTTCCTGTTTTCCTATAATGACCATAAATATATTTGTGTTTTTAGGTCATTTTAGCAGGTTTATACATTCATAAAGTTTAAATGAAACCTTGATTTAAATTTATATTAATAACTTTTGTTTAATAAGCTTAATTATTTTTTGTGTATAACATACTCTATAATATCTACCATAAATTTGTTGGTAGACTAAATTATCTTGTACGGATTTATAAATAACATATTATTGTGTAAAACCTTAAAGTAATGGTATGTTAGTCTTTTTTTAGTAATATGCTATTTTTGTATGAATTTTCGTATTATATTATTGATTTTAATAGCGTCCAATTGGTTTAAAAGGATATTTTCTCTTGTCTTCGCTTAATATAAATGGCTTTGAATAATAACTTAAAGCTTTTGTCTTTATTTAATAGCAATTAATAATAACTATTATTTATAGTTTTATTTCTTAGAAAATGTTTACTTTTTGATTTAACTTTGTAGGTAGTTTTTTTTTTGCTTTTCATAGTCTATTTCTCTTTTGGAAATCCCACCTAGAGTTTTTCCTCGTTATAAACTTTGTTTCTTAGTATCGTATTTTTAATAGTTGGAAGGTAATTTCGCCAGAGCCTAATGGAAGGGTTGAATAATAACTTTAGTAGAAAGCTTTGTCTTTAATTAATAGCAATTAATAATGACTATTATTTTTAGTTTTTTTTCTTAGAAGATTTTATTTTTAATTAATAACTTTGTAGATATAGTTTTATAACTATTTATAATAATTATTTTTTGTTTTGCCTTTCGTAGTCTATTTCTCTTTTTCTTTTAGGAATTCCCACCTAGAGTTTTTTCCTCGTTAATTTAATATTAAGTGTTCAATGACTAATATTAGAGATTTAAGGCTGGTCGTCTATATTATGGCGTAAGGTAGATATTATATTTTCAGACTATAGTCTTCCGTACATAACCTTATCTAACTTCTGCTGCCTATTTCTTATAGCACAAAGGGTTTATGAGCTAACTATTTCGGTAGTTATTAAAATTGTTTTTACTAGTACTTGGCTATTCGGTAGTTATTAAAATTATTTTTCCTAGTTCTTGGAGGCTCACAGTAGACTTTGCATAGTGTTACTTGGTCCTGTTTTACCTGCATACAATTGACTTCAAATCTATCTCTATATAATGACTTTAAATAATCTAAATAATCTTATCGTAATTTTGCCGGTTTTCTTTATTTTTTTGTGTCCGCACTCTGCTGATTTATTCAAGTTTTTTATGTCCGCACTATGTTGGTTTATTCATAAAATTGACTTCAAATAATTTCTCTTTATACAATGACTATCTTATCGTATTTTTGCTGGATTTCTTTATTCTTTTGTGCCTGTACTCTGCTGGTACAATTATTCATATGCCACTCAAATTTTTCACTAAGTTTTAGGAAAGCTCGGAATCCTCTATGCTAAACTATCCTATCCAGCTTTATAGAGCTACTTTTTGATTATTTCTTAGGGATTAGGTAATCATCCTTCCCTATATTTTTCCTTTTACTTTTGTTTAACTTATTTATTTTTTTATTAATATTTTTCCTTTCTTTTTATTTTCTTATTAATTATTCCTTTTCCCATAATCTTCTTCTTACATTCTATTCTTTTATATGTAGCTTCCACACATTTTTACATCTTTTCCTATTACAATCTTCCACATATATTTTACATCTTTTCCTATTACAATATTTATGTCGACTAGGCTTCCAATTGTGCGTAGATTGGAGGTTGATTTTTTTTTTCTCTATGCAGTTCAAATTTTATTTTTTTTATTAAGGTTTTCTTTATCTTTTCATTTCGCTCTATTTACTTTTATCTTTTTATGTTTTTTAGGTGATTCTCATCCTCTCTTTTAACTTGTTAGTCTTTTATAATATACTAAATATAGCATTTTTAAATATCAGAGTAAAAACAAATTGTAAATAAATTGCTATTACCTGTTTTTGAATTTTTGACAACATCCGATAGGTTTAAAGGGAATTACTCTTATCTTCGCATAATATAAATGGCTTAAATAGCAAGTTAACGGTTCTTCTTATGCTAATGGCGGAGGAGAAAATGGATGTGATAGCGATACAAGAAACCCATTCTAAAGACAACAATATGACCAACTTTAATAAATTTATACTATATAGTTCGGGCACTGTTCTAATATGTATTAAATATATATATATAAGCCTCAAATGTCAATCAGATGGATTGTAGACATCTGATTGGAGGAAAAAATTATTATTATTTAATGTAAAAAAAATAATAATTATTATAATATATTTTTTTGAAAATATATATTTTTTTGTAAAATTATATTATTATTAAATTTTTGAAATTTAAAAAAAGAAAAATTATATATTTTTTTTCCTCGTGATTTATAAAAAAGTGATATAATAAAATTGTTTAAAAACTTCATTTGTCTTATGAGAACTTCAATTTTGGAGAAATTCATTTTTAAAAGAAAACATTGAGAATCAAAGGATTATTCTTTTTGTGTTAATACTTAAAAAGGCACTACTTTAAATTGTTGGTCAGGAGTTTCCTTCCTAATTAGTAAGAGAGTGCATAAATTTGTAGATAAATTTGTCCCCATTTCCGAAAGGTGTTGCCTATTGTATTTAAATACCTATTTTAAACGAACGATCCTAATTAACGTTTATGCTCCCCCCAACAGAGATATTAGGCTTTCCTTTTTAGAACATCTTCAAAACATTGTACGCTCTCTTCCTAAGAGCCGCAACTGGATAATCTTGGGGGACTTGAATATCAGGATTGGGAAGGAGGAGTTTTACATACATGATGAAGTAATTGGGAATGCGGCCATTCCCCAACCAAATCGCGAAGATAGTAGAAAGCTTTTGGAGTTGTGTAGGATTTCCCTCAAAATCGAGAACACTTTCTTCTTTCATAATGAAAGTAATACTTTAACTTATAGGAGGAACAATATTACTTCTCAAATCGACTTTTTCATTTCCAACATTCATGGTTGGTTTACTGATGTAAAAGCAATGCGGAACATAAATATTTCAGATCACAAGTTAATCAAAGCGAACCTCCTCATAAAGAATTTATGGGGGAACTCTCAACGCCTCTCCTAATCTAAAAATTTACAACGACCTGAAGTAAAGCTGTTAGACAAAAACTTAAGAGACAGGATGACAGTACGTGAAATTACACCGGAGTCTGTTTCTAGGGAGGCATGTTGGTCGTCCTTTATGAGTAATCTTTTTGGAGCCTGTAATGATCTTCCTAACATCAATAGTTCTCTCCCGAGGCATGAATGGTTATCTGAAGACACAGTACTCTTGATAGCTGAACTCAGGTCGCTTGATAGACGCGATGGCGCCCTCTGGACTACAATCCATAGACTCCTTAGGAGGGGCAGAAGGATCTACATAACAAAGAAAGCTTTCGAGATTGACAGAGACATGATAGAAAACAGAACTTTTGATGCTTATAAAAAGCTCAAGCTTTTCTCTAGTGCAAGAGTATTCAAGCCTCTCCCATCAATCAGACTGGATAATAATAAGATTACCGACCCGGATGAACATATGGCTCTATGGTTGGACCATTACATGGAAATCTTTGATTCAAGGAGACCAGTCGTATTTCCATCCTCTAGCCATAGCGCAGTATCATCTGATGCTAACTTTTCTGTGGTGGAAATAACTAAGGCCATTACAAAACTTAGGAATAATAAATCCCCAGGTCCGGATAACATCTTAGGAGAACATCTGAAAGCTGCCCCCTCAGAGGTTTCTCAGCTCCTGCTGGGGTTGTTCAATAGGATTTGGCTTACAGGGAAGATGCCAGCAGACTGGAATATGACAATTTTTTATAACTTCCCCAAAACCCCGAATACTGTTAAATTTAAGGATTATAGAGTTATTGTTATCACATCTATCGTGTCTAAGGTTTTTATGATTCTTCTAAAAAACTGCATTCTTTCGACCACGCCAATCTTCTGTACAAGTACATCTGTGCCTACCGCCCAAACAGGAATATCAATAAACCTATATTGGCATTAAAGATATTAATACAGAAGTGTGACAAATATAAATTACCATTTTACTTTATCTTCGTTGATTTTAAGCGCGCTTTTGACAGTGTTATTCATGATTATTTGTGGGCAATCCTAGATGTGGCATTGACGGAAATATCATTAAGATTCTTAAGACACATTATAGTAATCTCTTCGCCTCGTTTAAAATTATTAATAAAGTTTATCCCCCCTTTAGAACTAAAAAAGGAGTAAAACAAGGGTGTGTCGTCTCCCCGCTGTTGTTCAATATAGTTATATATAAAATAATTATGGATTCGCTGGGAGCCGCAAATCTTCTGGAACTTGGATTTAATCAGACATGGTTTTTGGAAAATAGGGTGATTTGTTATGCAGACGACTTGGTGATGATCGCCAAGAGCTTAGAGGAAGCCCATTATTTAGTCTTGTTACTTAATTCCTTCAGCTTAAAGGTTGGTTTGGATATTAACTTCGATACGGTAATTATGCCATCATCTCATGCGCCCCCTTTGGTTGATTGGATGGTTGGGGGAAAGTTAGTCAGGGTGGTGTCCTCCTATAAATATCTTGGGGTAAACATAAATAATAGGGGTAGCTGCCACGAAGAACTAAAATCAGAATTCATAACGCAAGGGCTGCTTTTTACAAATATTTAAAACTGTGGAAATCCAGGGAGATATCGGTTTACACTAGGCTACGTATTTTCAATTCCACCATCATTCCAATTCTCCTTTACGGCGGTGATATATGAAAGATTACGATGACAGAGATCAGGAGATTACAGGTGCTCGTCTACAAATGTCTTAGGATAATAAATGGCATTTTTTACCCCAACATTATTTCTAATGTTAACCTTTGGCGGAGGTCACGTCACACTCTAGTGCAAATGACTTTGAAAAAGAAGCGTCTTACCTTTTTTGCACACATTCTGAGTAATCACACAAATAATAGCCTGATCCTGGAGGCGATAAATTGGTTATACTCATTCAACGGCAAAATCTATGGGAAATATAAAACTTTATGGTTTTCTAGGCAGTAGAGGATAATTTAAACCTTAACACGAAACAGTTTTTAAGGTTGAATAAAGATAAGAAATCAATAAACTGTTGAAGATCAAATCAAATTATTTGAATCTCTCAAACTCCTCCTTGACACAGGTTATTTTTACTTTTGTTTTATCTTCCTTTATTTTACTTTTGTTGCCTTTTCTCTCTCCTCATTCTGTATCGAACTTTTCCTTTCATCTATTATTTGCTATCAATTTTCTCATCTTAAAGTTAGGTCCCCCTTTGCATTTAAAATCCATTATGTATATAAGCATCTTATAGGTGGGCTGTGCTTATTTTTGTCCATTCCTCATCAGCCCATAGACGTTTAAGTAATAGTCCAAGTAATAGTCCTTGGACTACGCATACAAGTAGGTGCGGCTTGCCCACAAACGTGTGAAGGGCTCCTCATTTTTATCCCCATTTTAATTCGTCCAGTCAGATGGATTATGAGTAAAACCTAACGTAGCTCTGTTGTATCCACAACTAGAGGGCGAAAACTTTCTATATCAAGTATCACGTAAAATGATTAAATTTTTTAATATACATTAAGAAAATTTGAAATAAACCATCCCCCATGGTGTAAAATAAATATATTTTATTTAATTATAGTTACATTTGAATAATATGATGCATTTTTTTTATTTTTTAAATGTTATTTATATTCAAAATAACATGTAAACTATTTGTAAAATAAAATTTATATAAAAAATATATTAAATAAAAGAATAATTAAACATTTAATTAGGTATGATCAACGGATCTTATAGACCCATGTATGGATATGCAGTTAGAACGGCAGATTTCAGTTGATATTTTCTGTCGAAGATAGAAGCCTTCTTTTGGATCACCTGTGATTAAGCATAATCTTTGCCCTATTGTTTTGAATAATTTTAAAGCTTGGTGTCCAAATGATCCACAGGTATCTGAGACTACCGGAACTAACAAAACATTATTAAGGTTGGTATATTTGTTTGTTTTTGTGTTTTCGGCTTTCGTGATAGAGTTGGAAGAAAAAGATCTGAAAACGATCCATGCAAGTATAATCCCAGGCGAGAGGTAGACCTTAAGGGATTAGCGTCTTACCATCTGGTCTGGTTTGATTGTAGGGGCTGAGGCCGGATGGTTCCAAGGTGGAGGGAATATTTGAGGATTTCAAGGTTCTCGATGATTGAATTGATAGCATGGTTTCGAATATTTTTTCGTAAGTGATTTGTGTTTTTTTTGAATGATTGTGGCATTCGCTTATAAAATTATTGATCAATATTAATTATTGCTAGGTTATACTAAAAAAAATTAAGTGAAAATTAAGCAAAAATGGGAAAAAAATAATAAATAAAAAAAAAATTAAGAAAAATTGACAAGAAATTTTTTTTAAAAAATAATGATTTTCTTTTTTTTTGAATTTATTCCGGTGTTTTTTTTCCATAGGGTTTTTTTCCGGGATTTTTTTCCGGGGTATTTTTCTTATTACCATACATTACATATTAACTAATTTATAAAAATAAATATCTTTTCAAAACTTTGAAATTTGTACTTAGAGTCCTACTTCCGTTTAATTTATCAACTAAATTTATTTAAAAATCTACCACAGGTGTGCAACATAATTATGTAAGTTGTTTAATCTAAACTTAATTAATAATTGAATACCAGAACCAGATTCATACAAAAATATTTTTAGGTATGAAGAAAAAATGAATTGTTCGACCCTTTCATATAATAATTTACCCAAGATACAAAATAATAAAAAAATGAGTGAATAAGAAGTTTGGAATATGATATAGGTAACATATAAGCTGTAAACAAGAATTCGTTAGCCTTATAAACGATTGTTAGACTTATTTATGACACATATACCCAACGATTTTTTTAAGACCAATGAATACCCAACGGCCCTTTTAAGGGCCCCTAAATTTTAACTGAAGTAAACTAGTTTTCGATTCAATAACATCTATAAATTATTGGATATATTTATGAGTCAAAAAAAATATTTTTAAAATCCCAAAAATCTAAAAAATTTGACTACACTGAATTGACATCATAACTCAAAAAATAATGCCGGAAACTTAAAATTTTATTTATTTTATTTTTATATGAGTAAGTTTACACAAAATGAGTCGAAACTTAAAATTTTATTCATTTTATGTTTATATGAGCAAATTTACACAAAATGAGTCAAAAAATAAAATATTTTTAAAATCCCAAAATCTAAATATTTTTGACTAAACTGAGAATTGACATCATAACTCAAAAAATAATGACGGAAACTTGAAATTTTTTTAATTTTATATTTATATGAGTAAGTTTACACAATCAAAAAAATAAAATATTTTTAAAATCCCAAAAATCTAAATATTTTTGACTAAACTGAGAATTGACATCATAACTCAATAAATAAAGATGGAAACTTAAAATTTTTTTCATTTTATGATTATATAGCTTGTACCAAATAAATTAATCCAAAGTAAAAAATTATGCTCCTATAATTCAGATTTTTTTTAATTAAAAACTAAATTTTTAGTTTATTACGCCATCATACGGAAATATATTTATGATTTTTTAAATTTTTTATGGATGCTATATTTTCTATGAAATATATCTGTTCTATACATATTTTAAATTTATGAACTACTCTTTCTTCCATATTCTATTTTATTTATTTAGATAATTTTAATTTTGGATAAATTTGATTTACATAACACAAATACATTATTTATATTTTTAAAATATAATTGATCAGTCAGGGTAAGCTGATGGATTGATGTTAATATCGTTGTTGTTTTTAATTTTAAATGAAAATAAACTAGACAATCGAAATGATTTAATATATTATAAATTAATATATAATAATTTTTATAAACTTGTGATTAATAAAGACCTACAATAAACCTAATATCATTTCCGGTTATTTTCAAAACATCTAGGCCTCTTTTTAGGATTTTTATTTATTTCCAAACAAAGAATAAAAGAAGGGTGCTTCCTGTTTCTATCCGGCTATATGGACTAAACAGCCTAAAAAGTCAGATAAGCT